TGAGGAATTCTGGGAGTTGAAGTCCACAAGTCTTAAACTTGCCAAGGTTGGACACCCCTGCTGTAGGCCATTACACTCCAGACCACTTCATATTGCAGGAGAGTTGAGCTCCCTCTCTCCCTCCCTCCCTTTGCCGTCCATCTCGCCTCAAGGCAACTAGAAATGCCATTTGCAGGCTGTTTGTCTTCACCTTCCTTCCTTCTTCTTGATTCCCAGGTCTCTCTTGTCTTCCCATCATGCCTACCCTCTACATCTGCCCGCATCCGGATAATTTCCAGAACACCCGTGTGTTGGTCGCAGCCCGTTATGGCCAGCAGCAGCTGACGGTGGTTGAACTGCCTCCCAATGCCGAGTTCAAGAATCGTTTTTTCTCTCTGCCCAAACTCCCAGCTCTGGAAACCAGAACGGGTGTCTATGTATCTGGTCCGACAGCTGTGTCTTACCTGCTGTCTCCAGATGTTATGAGAGGGCACAATCCCGAAACAAAAGCTTTGGTGCGGCAATGGATCAGCTACGCTGACATGGAAATAGCTCCCGCCGCCTGTTCTGTCGCTTTCTCTGCGCTGAAGATTTCCAAGCAGAATAAACAGGTGAGGGTGTTGAGGTGTGGTGGCTGTGCTGGGGTTGGTAGAGGCCCAAATCAGAAAGTATCTGGTAGCGTAAAAAGCTTGTGCCTTTGAAGGAAATGTGTGTTCTGACCAAGGCTTCCTGAGACTGTAATTAAGCACACGCTTCTTTAAAACAATTCTTGTTTTATTTCAATGCTATGTTCATTCCTAGCCCGTAATGAGTCCCAAACAATTCCTTGAGATAAACACCCACCTTTCTCTCCTTTGAATTGCTGCCAACAACTAAAGTGCCAAATTAACTATAAAAAACCAACCAAAGTACAAAGTCCACACAGAGCTTCAAGGTTTAATCCAAACAGAGTGAACAACGTTGCTTCCTGCAAAGGTTCCTGTCCCTTTGCTCCTCCTTTATATCTTATGGGAGGGGTAATCAGCCTTACTCCTGAGCCACCCCTTTTGTCTCAGCTGTTCTTGCCTTCTGGTAGCTCTGCGCACACACATGCTGGGAACAGGCTCCCCTTGTTCTTCTGCCTTGCTGCTGCCAGACTCTGGCACACAACTCCCAGATGGCCCTGGCCCCATCTCTGCACCGGACACAGGACCCTCGTCCGAGTCCTCCCCAGACTCCTGGACTGGTCCCCATTCTCCACTGTCCGATTCCGCTGCCGTCTGCACAGGCTGCCGGTGAACCACAACAATGTGTTACAGGCAGTCCTCGTCTTAACAACCAAAGTTGAGCTCCAAATTTCCATTGCTGAACAAGACAATTGTTAAGAGAACGTTGCACCATCTTACCACCTTTCTTGCTTCAGTTGTTAAGTGAATCACTGCAGTTAAGTTAGGAACGCGGTGGTTAAGCAGATCTGTAAACTTCCCTATACGCTTGTCAGAAAGTCGCAACATTTTCTGTGACCCTGGGACACTGCAGCCATCTTAAATACTGTCATAAGTGTGAAAACCAGTCATAAGTCACCTTTTAAAGGGATGTTCTAACTTTGAGCAGTCATTAAATAAGTGGTTGTAAGTCAAGGAATACCCAGAAAAATGTTCCCAGACTCTTTCTGATTTTTGGCTGCCATAAACTAACATGATTATTCTATAATCTCTACAACAGACTGGATAGAGTGAGCCGTTTTTTTTCAACCTGGCGCCCTTGGATGTCCTAAAATGGCCATCCTGTTTCTAATGTTCTTTTCTTTAAATACAAAAAAGAAGAAAAATATACACAATGATAAAATAAGGGACGATATCTGAAAAAAAGAAATAACAACATACAAAATACATATTCCCATGCATACATATATCCATAAATTTTATGATTCATTTGTAGTCATTCATGATTAGGGGTACATTAATCAGTTCAAAGACCCTAAATAGTTGGAACCAGTGGTGGGGTTCAAATTTTTTTTCTCAGAGAAGCACAGAGCCAAAGACACAAGCCTGAATATGATGAATGAGACTTCATCGAAACGTTGCCTAGATACTTCCAATTTTACGTGGGAGAAAACCCGAATAACCAAAGACACACACAAAATTGGAAGAAAAATGTATTTTAAATCCTTTTGGGGAATCACTTAGGAGCTGCTTGCAGATCACACCTTTCTCTCCTCTCCTACTCAGGGGCTGGATCGTGCTGTAGCAGAGCTGCAGCATCTGCTTGGGGTGCTGGACAGTCACCTGAAGGTTCGGACGTACCTGGTGGGGGAATCCATGACACTGGCTGATGTGACCACTGCTTGTTGTCTTTTGTTGCCGTATAAATATGTGAGTTTTCCTGCATCATTGTTCTTTTCTTTCTTTCTTTTTTGTTCTTTTAATAATTTGGCAGGACTTTTTGTACCCTTATGTAAATTGACCTCTTTTTTCCACGAAGGAAAGAAAAATCAACATCTGTAGTAAGGTCATTTACACAATAGTGGGCAACTTTTTCACCTTTCCACCTTTTAACAAAACTTAATTTATGCCAACGCCATATCTTTCTGTCCTTGGCAATCAGCTCTTGATTCCAGCTCACTTTATACATTGCTTTTTTCTTTCTTTCTTTCTTTCTTACATTTCTCTTTTTCAGGTTCTCACCTAATTTATTCAGTTGTGGGGGTTTTTTTTAGACTACTACTTCTCAATCTTCTCATTCTTTCTTCTTTTTCGAATAAATTTTTATTTTATTCGGGAAGTAAAATACAAACTTAAAGGAAAATGAAGTTTTACAAAAACAAAACAAAGATAGGCAAAACAATTCATCATTCTAGTGTTTGTCTATCCACTGCAGGATGAAGGCTGAATGCTTTGAAGACAAAACATTAGAAAAGAAAAAAAAGTGTATTGAAGAAGACAAAGGACAAAACCACATATATACATATAGCAATAGCTTATATATCACTTCATAATGCTTCACAGCACTCTCCAAGGGGTTTACAGAGTCAGCATATTGCCCTCAACAATCTGGGTCCTCATTTTACCCACCTCAGAAGGATGGAAGGCCGAGTCAACCTTGAGCTGGTCAGGATCAAACTCCTGGCAGTGAGCAGAGTTTGTCTGCAATACTGCATTTTAACCACTGCACCACCATGTTTCCTACATAATATATTACAAATATTATCGCTCTTAGTTGAATTCTGATATATTGGAACAATGAGGGTGAAGCTTCATTCTCCAAGATTGTGGGTTGGTTTATGAATGTTTTGTTACCGGGCTAGGTAATGAAACGTTCAGAAACCAATTCACAAGCTCAGAGAACGAACTTTCACCCTCATCCTATCCCCAAGCTACAAATATTCACCACTATTGCAAATATTGAAACTATATTCCCCCCCCCCCCCCCGCCAATTTGCGAAGCAAACCCAAATTTATAAACTTGTGCTTCTATTTGTAACCAATTTGACCTGTCATCTATCTACTATATATAAGGGCAAAATATTTAACAGGCGAACTAACAGCAAAATTAAGCTTTAAAGCTCGCTGTTAAAAGTCTATTATTGTACAGTATTTAACCCATAGAAAGATCTACAACGGCTTTTTATCTACCTTAAATCACTTACAGTTATTATTTCTGTTCCTTCCAGGATTGAATAAGCTTGTTTGATTCTTAATAATAAAACTTTTCCCTTAAGTTTTTGGTTGAAAACTTTGCCAACAATTTTGTCTTATTCCTCAAAATCAATAAACCTCTTTTGTCGATCCGTTTCCCCCCCAAAAGTCCTGCCCAAATTGTTTTCCAGTTAGATGTACTAAGTCCATTCCCCAATCACCGTCAATCTCCTTGAGAAAATCCAGTTCATCACTCAGGATTCTGTTAACTCCAAATCTGTAAAATCCACATCCTCTCCAGCTTTTGAACATATATTAAGCAACTGGGTGTTTATTACCTAGAGTCCCTTGAATAATTACAGCAGCTAATAAATGGAATAAATAAAATAGCATGAATAATTAACTTCTCTTCTAGGTCTTGAACCAAACCCTTCGCACTTATTTTATCAACCTTACTCGATGGTTCCTGACGTGTATCAACCAACCAGAATTCCAGGCTGTTTTGGGCCCAGTGAGGTTGTATGAACAGGCCTCAGGAGGAGGTGTTCTAGAAATGGACTTTAAAGGTAAGCCGTGCCGGTGGATGGTCTCTTTTCAAATCCTCGTTAGTTGGCAGAGTCACAGTCAGGCTCCAGCTTAAGTGAAGCGAGTTCGTTTAGCAACCGTTTTCATCTAACGGCCGAGTTGCCAGTTGCAATTGTGGACGCTGAATGAGAATGGTTGGTATTTTGCAAATCATTGTACCCAAGCATGGAGGATACATGGACTCAGCTCCCACTGTCTTCATACAGTGCGAGGAATAACTTTATGAGAGAGTTGGAAGGGACCTTGGAGGTCTTCTAGTCCAACCCCCTGCCAAAGCAGGAAACCCTATACAACGGCACCTTGCTGAAGACAACCAGGTTTGTAGGTTACAGTGGACTTTTGCCTTAGAGCAGAGGTGTTCAAACTGTTTGCAAGGAGGGCGACCATTCAGCCTGACATTCTTTGAACCATTAACATTAAATGGGGAAAACGCCGGCCGGCAGGGATGAATGATAGGTTGAGCCGGCGGGGAGAAGAGGCTGCGGGCCTCGAAATTTGAAAACAGGCCGCAAATGGTCCCCAGGCCGGACTTTGGACATGCCTGCCTTAGAGTGACTCAATAGCGGGAAGCGGTTGAGTTCATACATTTGTATTTTTCCTCCTCCTGCCCTGCAAATCAACCAGGTACCTCTGAAGCTGAGTCGCTGGAGAAGAAGGAGATAGAAGAGCCCCCTCCCAAAAGCGCGTCGCAGCTAAAGAAGGAGGCCAAAAAGAAAGAAAAAATGGAGAAGTTTCTTCAGAAGAAGGAGAAGAATCTGCAGCAACAGGGAGAGGTAGGCGTGGTAAAAGGAGAACAGAATTAAATAGGCCTTCATCTCATAGAAATGTCAGACTCAAACACTTTAGCTCTGTGTGTGTGTGTGTGTGTGTGTGTGTAGCATGCACTTTTGAGCTTGAAATACATTGCCTTCCCAGCAAGGCTGCCATGCTGGGGAGAGATTCTGCTCCACTTGCTAAATTAGCATTTCTGGACCTTGGCAGCTTGAAGTTGTGTAGACTTCAACTCCCAGAATTCCTCAGCCAGAAGGGCTGTGTATATGAGAAGGAAGTTAGATGAAGTGCTTTTTGACTTTCTGCAGCAGAGACGAAGGAATTGTTTTTTCCCCCCAAGGATTGGATGGATTTATGATCACAATGTTGTTGCTAACTTAACTGCAGTGATTTCACTTAACAACTGTGGGAAGAAAGTTAGTAAAATGAGGCAAAACTCACTTAACAAATGTCTCACTTAGCAACAGGAATTCTGGGCTCAGTTGTGGTCATAAGTCAAGGACTACCTGTATTTAATATTTACCTGTTTCAGTCATTTTAGCCTGATTTTAGAGGTTGCAGATTCTATTTCCCAGCCTTAGAGAAATACTGCAGCTGAATAATAACATGGAAAATTTGAAGAATATTTTTCCCCAAATGATTTTTAAGAAAAGAAACTGCATATTGTATCAGATAAATAATTTTCTTAGGGTAATGTGCCTGGGAGAAAAAAAAAATCAGAATATTTTTTAATCTTTCCATGCTGCCTGCCAGTCTTTCTGTCTGGGTATTTGTTTTGCAATAAATCTGCATGGATTGAATTCTATTAGAGAAATTTCCATCTCTTTTCCATCTCTTCCTGTTTTTTTTTTTCTGAACATAATTTTCTTTTGTCTCCATGTCATTTTGTTATCGGATTGTCGTGCTTTAATCAGATGTAACACCCTGATTCTTTGCAGAAGAAGCCAAAAGCTGAGAAGAAAGAAAAGAAGGATCTTGAGATCATCACCTATGACATCCCCACCAAGCCAGGAGAGAAAAAAGGTAAGTTATTGCAGATAAATTGGGGAGTTTACCCTTCACTCTTTGGGGAATGTTTCTGAACCAATCTTCTGTAGAAACACTTCTAGGGCAGGGAGATTGCTGTAGAGGTGGACAAAATTTAAATAGTGGCAATAGTGGCAAAGATCTGTAGCTCGGGTATGGGATGAGGGTGAAGGTTCATTCTCTGAGCTTGTGGGTTGGTTTCCAAACATAGAATAGAATATTGGCCAAGTATGATTGGACACACAAGGAATTTGTCTTGGTGCTATGCTCTCAGTGTACATACAATAAAAGATACATTCATCAAGAGTCAAGAATCATAAGGTACAACACTTAATAATAGTCATAGGGTTATATAGTCATAGGGTATATAGTATATAGAATATAGTTATAGGGTACAATAAGCAATCAAATCATACTAGGAAACAGTCAATATAAATCGTAAGGATACAAGCAACAAAGTTACAATCATCCAGTCACAAGTGGGAGGGGATGGGTGATAAGCAGTGATGAGAAGATTAATAGTAATAGTAGTGCAGACTTTGTAAATAGTTGGACAGTGTTGAGGGAATTATTTGTTTAGCAGAGTGATGGCGTTCAGGGAAAAAACTGTTCTTGTGTCTGGTTGTTCTGGTGTGCAGTGCTCTATAGTGTCGTTTTGAGGGAAGGAGTTGAAACAGTTTATGTCCAGGATGTGAGGGGTCTGTAAATGTTTTCATAGCCCTCTTTTTGACTCGTGCAGGATACAGGTCCTTGATTGAAGGCAGGTTGGTAGTAATTGTTTTTTTCTGCAGTCCTAATTACCCTCTGAAGTCTGTGTCTGTCCTGTTGGGTTGCAGATCCAAACATTTCATTACCAGGCTAGGTAACATCTTAAACGGAATTTAGGAAATGTCAGTGTTCTGTTTATAAGGGCTTCAGGTATGGGTGTATCAAGTAATGGTCTTGCGATGGGTCACATATGAGTCATCAGTGGGTCTTGTGATGGGGAGATTACCTCAGATCAGGGTCATTGGGATGTGAACTGCTAGTGCAGTGGTGGCTAACCTTTTTGGGCTCTTGCGCCAAAAATCGTGCGTGCGCTGCTGTGCACATGCTCGCGTGCCAGCACCCAGAAGGCAATGCACCCCCCATGCCCCCCTGTGCATGCGTGTGCAATCCCCCCTCCCTGCTGCCCCTTAACCTGCACTGCGCCTCACAGCTGATTTTCAGCCTGTTTGAGGCCTTTTTCGGCCTCTCAGAGGCTAGAAAATCCTCTGCAGGCCGAATAATAGGCCCGTTTTGTCACTTAAAGGAAGTGATGAAATGGGCCTATTATTTGTCCTGCAAAGCCCTCAGAGGCTTTTTTTCAAGCCTCTGGGAGGCCAAAAAAGGCCTCAAACCAGCCGAAAAGCCGCTGTGAGGCGTGTGCATGCGCAGTGAGTTAAGTTTGCCTGCTGCTTACGTGCCGGCACAAATGGCTCTGTATGCCATCTGTGGCACACATGCCACAGGTTCACCATCACGGTGTTAGTGTGTGTGTGGGAGGGTTTGGTGGGTTGGCTGAGGGTCGGTCCTGTCTCTGGTTGGCTGTGTGGTTGATCTGGATTCTGAGGAGTTTGTAGGTCAATGGGTCTATTGATGGAATTGCTTTTGGAGCTCCAGGCTTCGGTGAACTCATTTAAATGCCCTGCTTGGAACAGCTGGTCCATCCTGTATTGCACTGCTTTTTTCCAATTGTTTTGGTAATGTTCGAAAGTAAAAAACATAAGTTTGAAATAATTTATTTCAGTTCAAATCAGGGACATTTGAAGGTCGGACTATTTCCAGAATGGTCAAAACACTTCATAGAAGGGCAGAATATAGATAGTTTTCGACTTATGACCCACAATTGATTCCAAAATTTCTATTGCTAAGCAAGAGAGTTGTGAAGGGAAGAGTTTCCCCCCATTTCACGACCTTTCTTGCCGCCGTTGTTAAGTGAATCACTGCAGTTGTTAAGTTGGTTACATGGTTGTTAAGTGAATCTGGCTTCCCCGTTGAATTTGCTTGTCAGAGGGTCACTGCAACCGTCATAAATACGAGCCAGTTTCCAAGCATCTGAATTTCGATCCCATGTCCATGAAGATGGTGCAACAGTGGTAAGCGTGAAAAACGGTCACAAGTCACTTTTTTTTCAGTGCCATTGTAATTTCGAATGGTCACTAAATGAAACATTTCAGATTCAGAATGCTTTACAGCCATGGTTATTGGACCAAAAGGGTGGCGAGGCTTGTAGTAGATGACAGCCATTCTCCAGGCCTGAGGTAAAGACTTTTGCTATCTTCTGCATAAGATCCTTTCCCTTTCTCTTCTACTCACCCTGATATTCTCCAGATGTTTTGGATTGTACTTCATGGTGGCTCACAGTGAACGGTGGGAGCACGCACACTACCTGTCTTGAACTCAGAACCTTTTTTTGCTTTCTAGATGTGACGGGTCCAATGCCTGACTCTTACAGCCCACAGTATGTGGAAGCAGCTTGGTACTCATGGTGGGAGAGCCAAGGTTTCTTTAAACCAGAGTATGGCGTAAGTATGGGCAAGGAATTGCTGTAAACTGAGATCTCTTCATGAATAACTTTCCCCAGATGGCTTGGGCCTTTATTACAGAGATGAGCTAAGCTTCATTACGGCTTCCCCTTGAGCACCAGCCGGAACATAATGGTTTGCATGTAGGCAGTGTTCTTATGTTCAACTTCAATTGAAAATGTAGGAGAAGAGCACGCAGCTGGGGGCGGAGTTAAAGAAGTCATTAGCCTACAGTCCTTATGTTCCCACAAAGGGTCTAAGCCCAACCCCTCTTGAATTCTTAGCTGATGTCAAATTAGCATTGAACTTTAATTGACCAGATTATGTATGGGTGATAACTCCTTTGAATTGCAACTTAATGTATGGTCCTGATTCTTTGCACCCGACAGAAATTGCCCAAATGGGAATCTTAAAAATATCTATCTGTTTCTGAGCATCACAAAATATATGAGCTGGAGGGTACTTTGGAGGCCATCTAATCCAAAGTCCTGATCATTATAGGAATCTCCTAAACCCGTGATGGCGAACCTATGGCACACGTGCCACAGGTAGCACGTAGAGCCATTTGTGCCAGCACGCGAGCTGCAGGCAGACTTACCTCACTGCGCATATGTGTGCCTCACAGCTGATTTTCAGCCGATTTGAGGCCTTTTTCGGCCTCCCAAAGGCTTGAGGAAGGCTTCTGCAGGCTTTGCAGGCCGAAAACTAGCCTGTTTCATCACTTCCTGTCTTTCCAAAAATAGCGGAAAACAGGGCTAGTTTTGGCCTGCAGAAGCCTTCCTCAAGCCTCTGGGAGGCCGAAAAAGGCCTCAAACCGGCCGAAAATCCACTGGGAGGCGCAGTGCAGGTAAGGGGGTGGCGGGGGGTGGGGGGGGATTGCGGGGGCATGCGTAGGGGGTGTGCATTGCCTTCTGGGTGCTGGCACGCGAGCATGAGCATGCAAGCACATGCACATTTTTTGGCACAGGAGCCCAAAAAGGTTAGCCACCACTGTCCTAAACCATTCCTGACAGGTGGTCATCCAGCCTTCACGTATGCACTTCCAGTGTTTGTGGAGGATTCCAGCACTGCTGTACTAAGACTCTGTTCCACCACTTAGCAGTTCTTACGTTTGCTGCAACCTAACATTCAGTGGCTAAGACACTGAGCTTGTTGATCAGAAAGATCAGCAGTTCGGTGGTTCGAAACCCTAGCTCCACGTAACAGAGTGAGCTCCCGTTACTTGTCCCAGCTTCTGCCAGCCTAGGAGTTTGAAAGCATGTAAAAATACAAGTAGAAAAATAGGGACCACCTTTGGTGGAAAGGTAACAGCATTCTGTGCGCCTTTGGCGTTTAGTCATGCTGGCCACATGGAGACGTCTTCGGACAGCGATGAGCACCGCCCCTTAGAGCCAAAATGACTAGCACGTATGTGCGAGGGGAACCTTTAACATTATTGACGTGTAGTCAACGAGCAGAGTCTTTAGTTTAGCAAGTTTTTGCTAAACTATAGGTGGATAAACAATAAAGGGCTCAGTTTGGAAGAATCACCTGTTGTTATTCTGGGTTTGGGTCTGACAGAGTTATTATCTATCTATATATAAAAGCGAAATACCAGTCAGGCATCATCACAAAATCTCCAGAATCATAAAGCCTACAAACTTGAAATTTGGCACGTATGTTCCTCTTGGCTTCTAGGTGCTCACTAAGAAAGGATTTTTTCAAAATGACCATCACAGCATTAGTATTTCGTATATTATTATTAACATGCTCTGATGCTAAGGATACAGCTACAGATTACAGAGTTGGAAAGGACCTTGTAGATCATCTAGTAATAATATACAACTGAAACTACTTCATATCTCCTGTGGATTTTGTCTCACTTTCTTAAGGGAGGTTCTCCTCACAGTTTGGTAAATCCTGGCCTAGAAGAGCCTCCTTATCCCATCGGATAATAAAATCTTGCACGTTGCTCATAGTCAGACAACAGGGAGGAGGGAAGGGCGTGATTGGAAGATAAGAGTGGCTGGGAGGGAATTGAGAAATTAATGAGCTCCATCTGTAGCCTAAGAGAACTTTGACACCTCCGGGTTGAATGATGAGAGCTTTTTGAGCTGAGTAGACTGTTTCCCAAAACAAAGAGATTGCACTAGATCGGTGGACAGTGGTTGGGCGGGGGGGGGGGGGGGGGTGTGTTTAACCATACAATTTAAGTTTTCACGGGAAAATTTCAGAACTGGCTGTCAGGCAGTGCTCCATTCAAAATCCAAGAAAGAAATACTTAGACTCTTTTAATTAGAGAAAAGATATCTTTTACTGGAAATGAAGCGGTAGCAACAATAGAATTCTGAATCTGAGGGAATAGGCGCGTAAACCACATATACAAAGTGATGGAAATGTTCCCACCCCCAATAGTTCAGAGGAGTCTTCCAATTACAAGTTGTGAATATGATCATGTGGACATCCTCAGGTGGCGATGAGGCTTCTGTCCGTTGACCTTGGCATACTTTGATAAAAGTTTGCAGTTGCGCAGAGGAAAGAAAGCTAAGCAAGAAATAGACACCTAAGCAAGAATGTCCTCTTCCCCCTCCTCATTTTATACAACACTAGAATGTAACACCTCCAGCTCGCTTTCCAGACTTTCCCCCCCTCCTCCCCTCGTTACTTATGACAGCCGAAAGATGCAAAGCAATAGTAGAAGATCTTGAAGGCTGACACTGGCTTTGTTTCTTCTGTGCCTGTATGGATCTATCAGTAAAGTTATACTCTTGATAAAATAATATCCCAGGAGTTTCTTTCTCTGAATAGGCCAACAGGATGGTTGACAGGACCGCTAGGTCTTTTTCTGGCTATCAGTTTTCTGTGTTTCTACCCTTGATCCCATGAGGTAACTTCCCCCTTGGCAGATAAATTTCTTTGCTTGCAAGACCCTCCTCACTGTAAATCTCACCCACTAAACAATATTTTCTTTGTTCCCCAGCGCCGCAGCATCTCTGAGCCAAACCCTAAAGGCATCTTTATGATGTGTATTCCTCCACCCAATGTTACTGGATCGCTCCATCTTGGCCATGCCCTCACCAATTCCATCCAGGACTCTCTGACAAGATGGTGAGATCTTCTGGGCACCCTCTGAGTTTATCTTGGGCCTTTCCCATCTTCTGCTAGATAAGGGGCGTCAAACTCGATTTCATTGAGGGCTGCACCAGGGTTGTGTTTGACGGTGGGGTATGTGGCCAGCTTGACGTCACTCATGTTGGAGGTGCCTGTGGTGGCCCGAGCGTTCTGCCAGCAAAAATGGGCTCCTGATCTTGTGTTTTTGGCTGGTGTGGCCTCTTGCAACCTTTTGCCAGTGAAAATGGAGCTTGGATGGACTGCATGCCGCCCTCCTGAGCTCCATTTTCACTGGCAGAGGCACCTCGGGCTGGTCCTTCACTGTTTCCAGGGCAGCCCCTTGGGCCAGATCTAAGCGCCCTGTGGGCCGGATCTGGCCTGCGGGCCTGGAGTTTGACACCCCTGCGCTAGATTTTTGGGAGCTTCCCAGTCTAAATATATCTTTTCCAAGCACAAATCTTGTAGAGTTCCCTTTGGTGAAATTAATAAGGATGAGCGGGGCGAGGGGGGGTTACAAGAAGTATAGTAGCTGGATTGTTTTCTGTTTTCTTGTACAGGGGTCTCCAAACTTGGCAACTTTAAGACTTGTGGACTTCAACTCCCAGAATTCCTCTGCTAGCGCATGCTGGTTGCAGAATTCTGGGAGTTGAAGTCCACAAGTCTTAAAGTTGCGAAGGTCGAAAACCCCTGTTCTTGTGTATTGTGATGAAGAATTTCTGTTTCTGATGTTATTTATGATCTGGTGAGGAAGGGGATCTTTGCCCTAAAAATTGAGATGCTTGAAGCAAGCTATTTCTAAGGTAGCCCTCAACTATAACCAGTTATTTTAATGACTGGAATTGCAACGACCTCGGAAAGGGGTTTAGAGCAGTGATGGCAAACCTTTTTGTTGTGGTCTGCCGAAAGCATGCGTGTGCCGGTACCCACAATGCAATGCGCCCTGCCCACCCCTGCGCATGCGCGTGCAACACCCCCCTACCTGCACTGTGCATGTGCGTGCCTCCCAGCTGATTTTTGGTCCGTTTGAGGCCTTTTTCGGCCTCCCAGAGGCTTGAGGGAAGCCTATGCAGCCTTTGGAGGCCGAAAAATGGGCCCGTTTTTCAGCCTTCAAATACCGGAAGTGACGAAACCAGAAGTAAAAGAAGTCACGAAACGGGCCTGTTTTTCAGCCTCCAAAGGCTGCAGAGGCTTCCCTCGAGCCTCTGGGAGGCTGAAAAAGGCCTCAAATAGGCTGAAAACCAGCTGGTAGGCACGCACATGCCTAGTGCAGGTAAGTTTGGCTGGGCACGCGTGCCATAGGTTCGCCATCATGGTTTTAGAGTCTCTACAGCAGGGGTCTCCAACCACCGGTCCATGGACCAGTACCGGGCCGTGGCATGCCAGAAACCAGGCTGTGCAGACAAGCGAAGCCCCATCCGTGGCCTGCAAAACCACACCCCTTCTGGGCCACGGAAAAACCTCTCTCCCCAGAACCGGTCCGTGGTGCACAAAAGGTTGGGGGCCGCTGCTGTACAGCACTTCCAGCCATCATAAGCCATCCCCATCCTGCGGCCCACATACCGTAACCCCTTTCCGGGCGCTTGGCAACTGGCTCTCATTTATATATGGTTGCATCATCCTGTGGTCAGTTGACTGTGATTTGCAATGTTTTTTGCCAGCTTTTTGCAATGTTTTTGCCAATTTGCAAAAAAAAACCCACTCTCATTTGGGAGAATGGATTTAGATTTATAACAGTGTGATTCACTTCTATGGCTACTGTAAAAATCAGTCGTGAAATCGTCACACGTATGCCTCAATTTATGACCATCACAATTTATAACCAAAATGTTGGTCCCAATTGAGATCATAAATTGAGGAAATATCTGTCCTGGATCTTTATCGGTCTGGGAACCCACCTCTAAATCCTCTTACTTTCTCTGGAATTATTTGGCCACATGTGGTTTGACTCCGTGGTGTTACTGGTAAAGGTGCAGTGTCCAAGACCTTTGTTCTAGTGAGCTTCCTGCTCTTACATTTGTCTTGTAGGCACAGAATGAGGGGGGAGACCACCTTGTGGAACCCCGGCTGCGACCATGCGGGCATTGCCACCCAGGTGGTGGTGGAGAAAAAGCTTTGGAAGGAGCAAGGGAAAACACGGCACGACCTTGGCCGCGAGCCGTTCATCGAGGAAGTCTGGAAATGGAAAAACGAGTGAGTCTTTTTGCTGTATCTCTTTTTCCAAGCTTTTTGAGTGAGATGGGCGCCATATGAGATAGATTAGATAGATAGATAGATAGATAGATAGATAGATAGATAGATAGATAGAAAGAAAGAGAGAGAGAGATAGATAGATAGATAGATGCAGGTAGGCAGAGAGAATGAAAGATGATGGATGGATGGATGGATGGATGGATAGACAGATAGACGGACAGACAGAGATAGATAGACAGAGATAGATGATAGATAGATAGATAGATAGATAGATAGATAGATAGATAGATAGACAGACAGACAGACAGACAGACAGACGGATGGACAGACGGATGGACAGACGAATAGATGGACGAAGTACAGACAGACATAGATAAAAATAAATAAAATAAAATAAAGTGAAATAAAATAAAGTGAAATAAAATTAAATGAAATGAAATGATGATGATGATGATATCCATTAGTCATGTCCAACCCTTGATGATTCTGGGAGTCAAGTTTTTCCCACCCCTTCCAGTCTTGCAATATTTCTTTTGAGTTTTTCTATGTTCTCGCTGATGTCAGTCACTGTGTTCTTCGGTGGTCTGGTTTCCTTTTACCTCTAACTCTTCTGAACGTAATTGCTTTCTCCAATAAATTCCCCTGCATAATATTGTCAAAGTAAGTGTGATTACAGTTTCATGATTTTGTCTGGTGTTACGCGTTCCATACTTGCTTCCTTTGCTGTCCGAGGAGCCTTCTCCAGCACCCCAGCTCAAACAAGTCAATTTTCTCCCTGTTTTGCTTTGTTAAGGTCCACATTTCACAGCCATAGTTAGCTAGAGCTGACTAACTATAATTGGTTGGGATCTGGGGAATGCTTGCTCCCATGCTGACTTGAAATTATGTATTACCAATATTTGTATCCTATCTAATCCTGCAATGCTTAGATGGCTTGCAATATACTGAGCTCAAAACATCTCTAGAAACAGCCAAGCGTTAAAGTAGAATTTGCTGCTGTCACAATAATCTTCCTGTCTAAGATCTGGTGGGGAGGACTATCTTCACCAGTCTCCTGGTCCCAGGACCAAATGGCAGAGATTCACCTGATCTCAAGAGACTTCCTGCTCCAGAATGAGGGCATTGCTAGGCAGACTACAGTTCTCCGAGTCCTGACCCTCAGCATCCCACAGGTTGGCAACCAATATAACATCCCCTTGCTACACCACATAGAATAGATGTATTTTACCTGAAGAAGACACTCACCAAGGTAACAAGGAAATTAGAATAGAATGGAATATGGAATAGAGCAGGGTCTCCAACCTTGGCAACTTTAAGACTTGTGGACTTCAGCTCCCAGAATTCCTCAGCCAGCAACTCTAAGACTTGCGGACTTCAACTTGGCCAGCAAAGCTGAGCACAGGTGGCTGAGGAATTCTGGGAGTTGAAGTCCAGAACTCTTAAAGTTGCTAAGGTTGGAGACTCCTGGAATAGAGAGTGAAATGGAACGGAACGGAACAGAACAGAACACGGGTCCCCAAACTTGGCAACTTTAAGACTTGTGGACTTCAACTCCCAGAATTCCTCAGTCAGCTTTGCTTGTCCACAAGTTGATGTCCACAAGTCTTAAAGTTGCCAAGTTTGGAGACCTCTGGAATAGAATATGGAATGGAACAGAACAGAACGGAACAGAACAGAATGGAACAAAATAGAATAGAATAAAATAGAATAAATTCCTTTTTTGGCCAAGTGTGTTTGGACACACAAGGAATTTGTCTTCGGTGCATAAGCTCTCAGTGTACATAAAAATACATCAAGAATCATAAGATACAACACTTAATGATAGTCATAGGATACTGAATCAGCAATCAAATCATACTAGGAAACAAAACGATATAAATCATAAAGATACAAGCTTGGTCATAAGCTTGTATGTTATGGTCATGAGGTTATGGTCATAAGTAGGAGGTTATAGTCATAAGTAGGAGGAGATAGCTAATAGGAAGGATGAGAAGAAGAATAGGGTGGTTCTGCACGACCTACCTACAGTCAAAAGTGAGAGACAACTGGAGAAAAAAAAACCTTGGGTGTCTTTCCTTCCCCCTCCTGTTTTGTATAATGCATTCTGGCATGCACAGTCACTTATTTTCTCTAGATTTTGTAGACCATTGGAAAAAGTTATAACGATCAGCCTTGTGCCTTTCCAATGATAACTTCGCAGTGAGTACGCTTCCTATTTTCTCCTTTGCAGAAAAGGGGATCGGATCTACCACCAACTGAAGAAACTGGGTTCCTCCATGGATTGGGACCGAGCTTGTTTCACTATGGACCCTGTAAGATCTTTGATCAGGGGGAAAGGGATGTGTGGAGTAGATTCAGATTAACAGAGTTGGAAGGGACCTTGTAGGTCATCTAGCAATAGCACTTAGACTGATATACCACTTCACGGTCAATGCTTAACTGCCTTGACTAGCTTGCAATCTTGAAAGTCTGAAAGCACAGTTCTCTCTCTCTTGCCAAAGACCCGGGTTCTTTGATAGACAGCGATAACGATAGCATTTATACTTCACCGTGCTTTTCTGCCCTTTCTAAGCTGTTCACGGAGTCAGCATATTGCCCCCCCACAACTATCTGGGTCCTCATTTTACCGACCTCGGAAGGATGAAAGACTGAGTCAACCTTGAGCCGGTCAGGATCGAACTGCTGGCAGTGGGCAGAATTAGCCTGCAGTACTGCCTTCTAACCACTGCGCCACCACAGCACAGGAGTAACTATTGTAACTCCAACTAACATTACTGCTTCTGTCATATACACTGAACCTTGAGTGGAGCAAGTGGCCAGTTTTAAGTTTCTGGGTGTTACCCTAAAAGAGGACCTGACCTGGGCTGTTCACATTGCAGCACCGGTCAAAAGGGCCCAGCAAAGATTATACTACCTGAGATTTCTCAGAAAACAACAACTGAATGAAAAACTGCTGTTGACCTTCTACCACTGCACCATAGAGAGTATCTTAACTTACTGCACCTCTGTATGGTTTGCCAATTGTACAGTGGCAGATAGGAAGGCACTCCAGAAGGTTAACATCATTGCCCAGAAGATCATTGGTTGCCCTCTCCCCTCTTTGGAAGAGCTTTATAGCTCCCGCTGCCTTAAGAAAGTTCAAAACATTCTCAAAGATCCATCTCATCCTGGGAACCCTTTTTTTGAACTATTACAATCTGGCAGACGGTACAGGATAATAAAAACAAGGACAAATAGACTGAAAAATAGCCCCTATACTAGGGCAGTAACTCTATTGAATTCTACTGTATAGTACACTGGAGATGGTATTTAATTTCGTTGTATGATGTACAATGACAAAGTAAACTAAACTATAAAGTAAACTAAACTAATTCTCACTGCTCCCTGAATAGGATTGGATTTCAGATACTCCTCAACTTAAAAGCGTTCAAAGTTACAACGGCATTGGAAAAAAGTAACTCGGGATTTGGCCCTTGCACTTAATGACTATTGTCATTACGGTCACGTGATCAGAATTTGGTCAGTATGTATTTACAATGTTTGCAGTGTCCTGGAGTCACGTGATCACCCTTTGGGAACTTCCCAGCTGGCTTTCAACAAGTAAAGTCAGTGGGGGAAACCGGATTTGCTTAATAATTCATTTAACAACTGCAGGGATTCACTTAACAAGTTTGCAAAAAAAAAAAAAAAAAAGGTCATAAAATTGGCTGGGACTCGCTTAACGTTTTCCTCACTGAGCAACAGAAATTCCGATCCCAGCTGTACTGGGAGAATGTCTCAGAATGTCGTATCCATGTGGCCTCTTGACGTGGGATATCCTTTCCATTTGACCAAGTATTGTAAGCGCCTCTATGCCTATGGGGGGTCTAGAATATTGTCTACTTAATCTTTTCCTGGGCCAGGAAAGGATTAAGAATGGAGGAGGAGGAGAAGATCTGTTCAACATTTTCATTTGCTTTTTGCTGAATTTGGGGGTTTTAAGGGCAACAATAGGAACGTTTTATCACATGGAAGACTTGCTTGGGCATCCCCACTCACACCAAACAAATAAAAATTGGAAGCTGGCCTTTTGCTACCAATTTTCAACAAGGGCATTTTTGTGCTTTGAAAGTCATTAGAACTTCTATACTAGAAGAGCCTTGGTGGCACAGTGGTTAAAGTGCAGTCCTGCAGGCTACTTCTGCTCACTGCCGGCTGCCTGCAATTTGTCAGTTTGAATCTCACTAGGCTCAAGGTTGACTCAGCCTTACATCCTTCTGAGGTGGGTAAAATGAGGGCCCAGATTGTTTGCGGGGCATAGGATGACTCTGTAAACCACTTAAAGCACTGTAAAAGCAGTGTGATGACCCGGAGCGTGGCACAAAAGCAACAAAGTCACAAAAGTAGGTAAAGTCCCTTTAATAAGTTCGTCTAACTTGGCCCCCAATGTCCAGTTATCATCGACTGGAGAAAAAAACTCTCCCAAGAACAGTTTTTAAAGGGAAGAAATTCAGTCTGAATCCAAAGTACATATAAATTATAAATAAAAACCAACATAAACCATGCTGCAGCAGTTAACGAGACAGGGCAGGATAAGGAATTGCAGAATTCAAAAGATAACAACACACACAGTTGGGAGGTCACCAGAACCCAGGTAAGACTTGACAAACAAAGATAATGCACGCTTTGCTTCCAGCAAGGTGCTGTGCGCAAATGCCCTTTTAAAATCCTGTTTTCCCAGCTACAGCAAATGAAGGGAATCAGGGCCTTTTTCTCCCCTGTAACCCACTTTGCTCCCTTATCTGTTCCTCCCTGCGTGCCCTAGGATAAAGAGGGGACGGGCCTGGGTCTTCCTCTGAATGCCCAGCCGGACAGTGCCCTTCCCCAGTTTCCTCTACAGCCACCAGAGCCACACTCCCACTCCCTATCAGCTGTTCAACCTCCCCCTTGGAATCAGATTCCAACAGGGCCATGACAGCAGTGCATAATTCTTAGTGCTATTGCTACTAGAGGTCCCCAGGTTGTGGACTGGCACCGGGTCGTGGCATGCCAGAAACTGGGCCACACAAACAAAGCCCCATCTGCGGGATGCAGGCAGCATGCAAAACCACGCCCCCTCCGGTCCACGGATAAACCTCTCTCCATGGAACCGGTCCGTGGTGCCCAAAAGGTTGGGGACTGCTGTTCTACATGACCCATGAATGATGCATTGTCACCCTCCAACTCAGAGAATGGAGAAGAATAATTGCCATCCTAGGGTAGAAGGGAAGCCCAGGTATGGTAGCCATTTTTCAACACAATGCGAAAGCAACCATTTTTTGCAATCTAGACCACAGAAAACCATGGGGTGTTTATGTCCTTCTGATGGAACCGTGTTCTTGTATCGCCAACAGAAACTCTCCTATGCTGTCCAAGAAGCTTTTATCCAATTGCACGAAAAGGGGATCATCTACCGAAGCAAGCGCCTCGTCAACTGGTCCTGCACTCTCAACTCAGCCATTTCTGACATAGAGGTGATTAGGCTAGAACGACCTATTTCCTCCTGTACCAGCATTTGGCCTTGGGATCCAGGTCTGACGATGCAACTTCCTGTCTCCTTCCTCCCAGGTGGATAAGAAGGAATTAACAGGCCGGACGCTCTTGCCCGTCCCGGGCTACAAAGAGAAGATTGAGTTTGGGGTGCTGGTCTCCTTCGCTTACAAGATTGAGGACTCAGGTTTTGTATGAAGTTCTTGGCTGATGATTCAATGGTTTAGGGCAGGGGTGTCCAACCTTGGCAACTTTAAGACTTGTGGACTTCAACTCCCAGAATTCCTCAGCCAGCAAAGCTGGCTGAGGAA